CTAGTGGTTCTCCCCTCCCCGCAGCTCGGCGCATCTCTTGTATGATGGCGGCTTCTGTCTGCTGTGCGGGCTGCTGGCCGGCTTGTGGTTCTCCCCTCCCCGTAGCTCGGCGCATCTCTTGTCTGATCGCGGCTTCTGTCTGCTGTGCGGGCTGCCAGATTTCAGCAGCTTTCGGGAGACCTCTGTGTTCCACCCGGTTTTACCCAGCAGTCAGCCCGGCGTATCTCTGACTCAGAAGCTCTGGTGTTGTGCACAGTTAACTCTGGTTGTATCTAGGTTACTACCTCCGTTAGCTTAGCTCCCACCTCCGCGTTAGCTTTGGGTTAGCTTGTAGCTAGTTCGACCGGGTGTCGACAGTTGATCCCAGCCTTACAGCCCCACCCTCAGCTCCACCTCTCTTCCCTTTTGTGGGATTGTCTGGGCTTGACGGAACCTGTGACACGGTCAAAATGGCGGTAGTGGCCACCTCCCATTTAGCCTCAAAAACGTGTTATTGGAGCCTATGGAAACCCATTGTCCAATATTTATATGTCGATGGTGACGGGGCACGCGAAAAAACTTTAAATATCTGGCAACTAACGTTGGCTTCCCGTTTGAGACATGCAGCAACGTGCGATGAACACATATCACGGCTGATTGCAACACATTCAAATGCCAAGCAAGGAGTGTTTGATGTTTTACGTGTACCGGTAGCCATTGGAATCCAGAAGGCAGCAGCTGTGCTGCATGTTGAATTGCTGTCTTTAAAATTCATAAACATCATATGTGAAATTCATGGCACAAAATATGCGGAATTCGAAAATAGCGTTTTTAGCCCCATTGACTGCATTCATTTTCTCGTTCTTCCGAGGGCCCGTGGTCCAGAAGTCGATGGGCGTGACTTGGGCTCCCTATTAGTTTAAAATGGATTCTGTAATTTTTTGTGTTTGTAATTTTTATTTGCAGCGATAAGGTCACCAACAGGGGCGGTTCTAGACCAAATTTTCCAGGGGGGCCAGTATTTTTTCATGGGGGCACAAGAAAAAAAATCATAATAAAAGACAATGAACAAGTAAACTATTACGGCAAATGCAGTAATGGTTTACTTGTGAAAATAAAACTGGCATGTTTTTATGGTACTCAGATAACAATTCTGAATGCTTCACCGCAACATGAGACTTGAGAAAAAAAAAAACAATTCTAGTCAATTATTATAGTTTGTGACTTTATTTGAATATTATATGAACTGTACATATGAAAAACAAACATTCAAACAAATAAAATATCTGCACAATACAATTTGCTTTTTGTAGTCAACACACACACACACACACACACACACGTAAGCAAAATCACTTCAATTGTTTTGATATACTCACGATTTTCTTTAACCTTTTTACTGTGTTCCTTGTTGAGTACATTAGCCAATGTTGTATTAACTTTCACAGCCCTCTGGTAGTCCCTCCACGCTATCATTGAATCCTTATGCCTTTCAGACTTTGCATGTACCAAAAAAAAAAAAAAACCAACCTCCTCTCTCAGTTGCTTTTTTCCAGTTCCTAAATCCACATGGTGAGTCAAACACACTTCCTGTGCTACTTGGTGGGCTAAAATGTCTGCATGCATGACAATAAGTAGAGTCCATAGTAACAGAATATTCAACCCAAGGATGACTTTCATACCAGCTTGGCTGAAAGCTGCATCTTCTGTCTCCTATTAATGTCACTGGAAATGTCCTCAAATGAGGCTGAGTAGGTGGGTCATCCTTGCACTTGCTGATATCTGAAAGAAAATAAATGTTAGCATGAGGATAAAAGTCATAATTAGTTAATTCAGAGTCTTATTTTATCTATTTATATAAACAACAGAAATTTTGGTCCAGAGTCAGCATGCCTCAAATGCATTTTACACACAATATGAGCTGCAATCACAGAGGGGTTGTTCAACACCCATAAACCTGACAGTACATGACAGACGGTGCACACGACAGAAGATGTCCCTCTTTTTGCTCCTCACTCTCTCCCTCACAGCCTACATCTTCCTCCTCACTCTCAGGGTGGACAGCCTCTGACCTCTCTGGTTCCTCTCCAACCAACTCCTCCTTCTCTTTCATCCTGCTTCTCAGCTCCCTCGTGACTTTCATCCTCTCTCTGTCTACGCTGTTCTTTATTAACAGCGGTAAAAAAGGACAAAATGTCCCTTTTTCTTTTCATGGCCGCTGATGCTTCCAGTCAGTGCTGCGAGAAAGTCATAGATAAATGAATACTGTGATCTAATCTCAACGTGTCTAAGGCTTAAAATGTAGCAACTTCATTTTTATTTTACAGTTAATGTTACAAAGGAAAAACAAATCAGTGTTAACTGTGGAAAGACTCAGTTAAGAACTTAAAAGTAATGACAGAAACGCGCAACTACGATCAAAACACTGATGTCAGGAAAATAAAATGTATTGCTTATCTTAAGTCTCTTAGCGTCTTTTCCGTTTGGCGTCCTCAAGAACTTCTTCAGGTTCCATTTAAACAATTTTTAATCTTTTATTCAAAAATCCACCGGGTAAACAGTTCTGTCCACAGTGTGCTGCGCTTTAAAGGCTCCGTATGAAACGCTGCAGCGCAGGGAAAAAAAAAATTCCGATCTCTTCAGCACAGGGGCCATAACAGGGGCCAGGGCCGGTTCTACAGGGGCCCAGGCCCCTGTGGGCCCCCGTTTAAAACCGCCATTGGTCACCAACAACAGGATAGAGTAATTTTTACGACTTTTCAAATGAAATGCTAACCGTTATCATTCACTTACATTGTTTATGCTAAGCTACGCTACAAAATGCTTTTTCCCACTGATCTTCCTTTGTGGAATATGGCAGCAGACTACCTTTAATTTAGGGAACATCCCTTTAAAACTAGCTGGGATGAAAGGCGGCAGACAATCTGGCTTCCCAGGTGTAAACTGTATTTGCATGCAGATACTGAGTTGTCAACTGCGACTAACCCGGGCATTCCTTTGACCTCGACTTCACTGTAAAAAAACCAAAACATCTGCACGTCTTTCTGCACTGCCACACGTGGAGACCAAATGAAGAGCAAGACTTCAAAAGCACAAATGGCACAGAAACTAAAGTCAAATCTGTCTTGGATCTCTGCAGCAGAAAGAAAAAAAACCCTTACATTTATATTGAGTGTGGTTTAGTACTGAGAAGACTCGCAGTGTGGCCTCAGTACCAGGAACCTATTTACGTTTACGCACACACAACTAGACTTCCCTGAAGAGAGGAACCGCGATAAAAGTAACACGAACAGACCACAAGATGACAGAGGGCCCCAGCAGCAGCCGCAGACGGGTAGAAACCACGTCACGATCCGAACTCTCGCTCTCTCCATCAAAAATATTTAGTCCTACATTCAGTACTTTTGCAATAAAAGTATTTATTCAAAAGTTTGACAGATTTTAAGCAAAAAAAAAGTATTTTTTAAAGAGCAAGTCAACCCCAAATCAACTTTTTTTCTGATAAACTATATAAAGGAGTGTCTAATCATGCTACAGACACGTGTAGTCAATAATTTGGCACTTTAGTGCATCTTAGTTAAAATTTTAATTTTCTGCCTAAAACTGTCAGTGTCGGGTAAAAATTCTGCACTGCCATTTGAATTTAAATCTGCCATCGCTATTGGCTAAGAGGTACCCTAGAACGTTAGCTGGTACCATATGATGTCACAATGTTGTTGTGAGCCTGTGTGTGTGTGTGTATTTGTTAGCGGCTCCGCCTTCTCGGTTTGCCAGACAACAGCATTTGTTGCATTTTTCAAACATGAAGTGGGAGTGGAGGAATACACTGGTAGGGGATGACTTGCTCTTTAAATATAGAAAGAAAAGTGTTTACAACTCAGTGAAAATATATTTTCTGCAATGACCACACAGGAATATGGCTGTTAGGTAGAATAATTTATTGCAGTTCTTTAATTGTCTCTTTTTAATTCATTAACAATACTTACAAGTTTAAAAGCATTTACAGAGCATACAAACATAACACACACACACACACACACACACACACACACACACACACACACACACACACACACACACACACACTACAATCAGATAATAACCGAGGCCGTTGGTCGTTTCCAGTGGTTGTAACCAACGGGGCCTCCTTATGTACAGCAGCAGGATGGAGACACCAACAGGAAGTATTGCTCTGAATTTCTCAATTTACCTGCTGAGGATTGAGAAGGGTGAAAAAAAGGCCTGAACTGAGTAGAGAGGGAAGAAAAGGGAGAGAATGAAACAGAAAGAGCTCCTTGTTTGGGAAATCAAGACGAGCGCTGCTGTGCGGAATGGAAGGTGTTGACGACATTCATCCCTGGCCTTACCAGTAAGCTGTTAGACGTTATTGCAGTAATAGATTACAGATGGGTCCCTGGTCCTGGATGGAGAAAGCTGCAAAACATAGTCTCGTCCCCCATCCTCACAAAACCATCAAACAGAAGTTAGTTGTGTTGAGAAAGAGTGTTTTCTAGAGAACTTATTTATACTAGACTGAATTCTTATCCACGCCGTAATTAATCACCTCATCAGTAAAGCCGACCACTAGAGATGACCTCTGACCTGCTGACTTCACCAAAGAAAAATAATTTATTTTTTTTCTATAGTACTTAGTATATACCTAGTATACAGTAAAAATGTACAATTCTAGATGAAAAAAACTGGAATCTTCCTGTTGATGTGAATCAGCACTAAGCTCACAGACCAGGAAATGGCTTTGGTGCATTTACAGACCGAAAAAAAAATAAATAAATAAAATAAAATAAACAACTCTGGGTTCGGAGACTTTGGAGCTTCTGGTCGATTCTCTGGTGCATCTCTACTTACAGCCGCTGATCTACCATCATGACCACTGAAGCTGGACTGAACAGCAGTGATGAAAGCAGGTTGCAGATTTAAACGTCTCGTCTCCTCCCACCACACCCACACCCACCCACCCACACACACCCACACCCACCCACCCACCCACCCACACCCACACACACACACACACACACACACACACACGCACACACGCACACGCACACAGGTACATTCAAAGAGCTGCCTTTACACACCTCTGTCATTTCATTCAGATGCAAAAATGTACAATGAAAGATGCCTTTGGGGACTAAACTATAAACTGTGTGTGTGTGTGTGTGTGTGTGTGTGTGTGTGTGTGTGTGTGTGTGTGTGTGTGTGTGTGTTTAGCATACAAACTGCAGCACAATAGTGGGAACAGCAAAGACAAAAAAGAAAGGACTTGTTAGCATGTGTGTGTGTGTGTTGGAGGCAGGTGGGTCAGAACGAGTAGAAAACGTTGCTGGTTACACGCCTCGATACACGCGGGATAAAAAGTGGAGCCACTGGTCAGAAAACCTAATGTGCTTTGATCTCGGCTGCGGTTCCACCAGAGTCCACCTCTGGTGGTGAAAAGTGTTTTTCTTTATGTGCAAACAAACAGATGAGATCCTCTTCAGGCCTTTTACACCACACACGTCAACCTCAGCATGAAAGCATACTGTAGCCATTGTTACCATGGTTACAGGTCACTTCAATCCAGCTCAGGCGACTCTGGTGTTTCAGACTGGACCTCTACATTTTCCTTCTCCTCCCGCTCCGCCGTGCTGTCTCCATTTACCGGAGCATCCTCACCTCCTTCATCAGTGGGCGTGACCAACTCAGTCGTTTCAGTAGTTTCATCTTTTACTGTGATATCCGTCTCGTCCGTCGGAGACGCGTCCTCCTCTTCTAAAACAGAGGCGTCTGGTCTCTGAAGAGAGAGAGCAGCAGCACACGGATGCAGGTGGGGGGAGTCGGCGGGGGGCAGCAGCGTGAGCGACTCCACGCTCAGGTTATCTGTGAGGAGGGAGATGGTGGGCTGGGAGGCCGGAGTGAGGCTCGGTGCCAGGGCTGGAGCTGGGGCCGGGGTGGAGGGAGCTTGTGATGCTTCTCCTCCCCCTTCACCTTCTCCACCTGAGGAGGAGGATGGGGTGCGCTCCAAAAAGGCAGAATCATCTGGAGGCGGGAAAGAGACAAACAGAGATAAAGATACTTGTAGGGGTCCACAGTACCACCTCCATGTTTGGCTGTTGGTGTTAAACAGATGTATCGGGACACATTCCAGAAGGTTCTACTCAAGTCTCACCAGGCAACATAAAATTTCACCTTTTTGGTAAATGTGAGGCAGACCTTTGTGTTCCTTTTGGACAGCAGAGGTGGAGTCCATTTTTGCTGTCCTCATCTCTCTGTTTTTATTTATCTTTTTGCTGAATAATGTCCGTAATGAAGCCCGGCCTGCAGAGCGTTAGCTGTTGTTAGCCCGGGCGTTGGCTGTTGTCAGCATGAACTGCAGAGCGTTAGCTGTTGTTAGCATGGCCTGCAGAGCGTTAGCTGTTGTCAGCAAGGCCTGCAGAGCATTAGATGTTGTCAGCCCGGCATGCAGAGCGTTAGCTGTTGTTAGCATGGCCTGCAGAGGGTTAGCTGTTGTTAGCATGGCCTGCAGAGGGTGCCTGCAGAGCGTTAGATGTGGTTAGCCCGGCATGCAGAGGGTTAGCTGTTGTTAGCGTGGCCTGCAGAGCGTTAGATGTTGTTAGCCCGGCATGCAGAGGGTTAGCTGTTGTTAGCATGGACTGCAGAGGGTTAGCTGTTGTTAGCATGGCCTGCAGAGGGTGCCTGCAGAGCGTTAGATGTGGTTAGCCCGGCATGCAGAGGGTTAGCTGTTGTTAGCATGGCCTGCAGAGGGTGCCTGCAGAGCGTTAGATGTGGTTAGCCCGGCATGCAGAGGGTTAGCTGTTGTTAGCCTGGCCTGCAGAGCATTAGCTTTTGTTATCCCAGCCTGCAGAGGGTTAGCTGTTGTTAGCCTGGCCTGCAGAGCATTAGCTGTTGTTATCCCAGCCTGCAGAGGGTTAGCTGTTGTTAGCCTGGCCTGCAGAGCGTTATCTATTGTTAGCCCAACCTGCAGAGGGAGCCATGCAGGCTATTTCCTGTATTAGCTGCTGATAAGAAATAGACAGGAAACACTTGGATTGGAAAAGCTTGACGGATCTACGTCACTATGAAAATTAGTATTCATGGACTGCTGTTGGTTTAGCATCCAGGAAACACAGAGAACTTCTTGGCTAGTAGAAGCTAACCATTAGCTTTACCAACTCCACCACACAGCAGAACTCCTTCAGGTTCATGTTATTTGTGGAGATAAAACATCAACATTGCAAAGCAAACTAGGTCAGTGGTAGAGTTGTGTTGCTGTTAGCCAATCACAGGAGAGATGTCCAAATATCAGAAAATGAGTCAGAACTTTGCCGTCTGCGGCTCGCCCCTGCTCTGGCTCACTTTTACTTCCTGAAACAGGAGCGTGAGAGCCATTACCCCACAGAAATCAACTCACAAGGCATTCATTTATACAGCACTGCAGATATGCTGAAAAGAGTGAACTTGGTCTTTAATAAGGATGGCAATTCTATGTGTTGATGTGATCTTTGTCTGACATGAAGAAATGAGGCTCTGAGTCATTTCAGTTACATAACAGCTAAGAAGGATAAATCTGTAAGGGGTCAAATACTTTTTCACACCACTGCAGACACTGGAAGAGAAAAACCGGACTTTACGAACAACAACAGAAACTTCTGCAGACGTCCGGGCTGACAGGCAGTGTGGAAACGCTGTACTGGAGTCTAAACCACACAACTAAAGTACTGACAAACCCTTTGCAACATCGTACATCCATTAATATTACTAATAAACCTAGGATGTCAATGATTCTCTCCTCCACCAGGAAACAAGGGTTAAAGGTGTGTGTGTGTGTGGGTTAGTGTAAGGCTGTGCTGTAGAACCAGGTATGAACTCCCCAGTGTTCTCCACATCAACCACATAAGCATCTATAAGACACTGAGATAGAAATGTTTTACTCTGAAACACCACTGCCAACTGCTGCGGTTCTGGTGGTTTGTTTACGTAACACCCAACAAGAACGTATGAGTTCTAGCAGGAGAACGCTCTCGGCCTTCTCCTCAACTCAAAGGAGGAATCTGCAGTTCTGAAGAGAACGGAGAACATTACAACCGTGTCGGTCCTGTGGTGTGTGTGTGTTACCTGCAGGGCTCTGAGCTGAAATGGTGCTTGCAGTAACAGAGTCACATCTTCCCGTGCTTCCACTCCCACTGGAGGGAGGCGAAGGGGAGGAGAGGGGTGAGGGACTGTGTTGTGGTATACAGTGGGCCACAGCAAAACCTGCAGACGGTGTAACATTAAAACACACACTCATTAAAGGTCTTGCTGCTTTCAGCCTGCCTGCTTTATCACGGAGCCGCGGGTCAGTAGGGAATAGGAAAACCGACGTGAGAGGACTTGAAGAGGTCCTCTTTACACCCAGGGGACTCTGAAGTGATGCTTTTCTACACCAAAACCTCCAAATGCTGCTGAGACCCGATGGTGGAGATCAAATCACAACCCGGTTTCTACTCGGCATTTGAAGGTTTTCTAATCGACTCAAACGCAGCCGAACAAATAAAAGCACATCTGAAACACTTTTAGTCACTCGAGTCAGAAAGTGAAAGTCACATAGATCATAGGAGGGTTTTAGGAAGAGACTGAACTGCAATTTCTATTTGATTCTTAAAATCAAGCTTCAGAAAAATATTCACACAGCAACATTAATGAACGCGACAGGAAATGACATCATCCCATCAAAGCAATAAAAGCGGCTATAGTAATAATGCAAGGATGAAAACTAGACAATAAGAAGATCTTTGATGTATTTTAACCAGAATCATGCAGAGCTTTTTTCTCACAACACACAGAATAATGATGCCTTTTACATGCTTACTATGAATTACCGTAACTCCGCCAAGGTTTGTGCCACCAGAAAAATATATCAGTTTATGTGTGTGTGTGTGTGTGTGTGTCTGCTCTGTCTTCTCGATCCCCAGTGAGTCATGCAGGATGGCTGCTTATACTGAGCCAGGATCCTCTGGAGGTTTCTTCCTGTTAAAAGGGAGTTTTCCTCTCCACTGTCGCTATATGCTTGCTTATTATGAGGATTGCTGTATAGTCACTGACACTAGTCAGTGACTTGATGCAATTTGCTGGGTTCCTTATATAGGAAACAGTTTTGATGAACTGACCTGGATTGGAATGTTTTATTATGTGAAGTGCCTTGAGACGACTCTTGCCGTGATTTGGCGCTATATAAATAAAATTGAATTGAAAGAGAGGAAGTTGCGCTTTCAAGTCCACTCCATGTTACGACAGTAGATCCTGTTCCAGGAAGGGGCCACAGCCATAAATAGCAGCACCATCACTAGAAAATCCACCTGCGGGTGACCTTAACCCCGCCGTAACACTTCTAAAAGCCTGGATGTTTAAAAATAGATGACAACTGATCCTGGGTCAGTCAGGGCGCTGCTAAAAAACATCATTTTGACAATCACACGATCGAGTTGTCTGAAATCGCACTTTTGATCAGAAAATGAAAAATGGTTCAGCCTCATCACAGACTCATAACACACACAGATGAATGAATCTCATTAAACTAAACCCTGACCAGCTCGTTAGCGCAGTTCGCTTCTGTCACCTGGAACTTTGTCGACGGAAGCAAACACAGATCTGTTGGCCGTCGGGTCGTTGGGCGCCCGTCTGGACTGCTCGTAGAATCTGAACGGGAGGCCGCTGGGCAAAGCGTTGGCCGTCTGACCAAAGCCCAACACCTCTGTAGCACCGGGCTGCACCGGCAGGTCCAACAGGGCTGAGTGTACAGGAAGTGGAGTGAAAACAGGTGAGGATAAACATCTGAGAAGGAGAAACTAAAACAGTGACTAGATTCTGACGGGAGTCACATCCTCCTAGATTTGCTGAACCAGTGAGACTAGATGCTCCCACTGTATCTCTAGGGAAATACATCTTGATGAGGGGAAGTTTAACCTCCTGAAGTCATCAGATTTGATAGAACTAAACTAATCTGCAAGAACTTTCTAAGTGGGTTACAAATACAGGAAAGACAACAGGGGAGGACAGTTCTTGATAAATGAAGTGAGTCACTTTCTGTATTAAGCAGAATTACTTGTTCCAGTTAAACGTGTCAAATTCAAGGAAATGACATCATGTTTCGTAAAACTCCACTCTGATTGGTCAGTTCAATAAAAACTAAAATCTCTTTCCTATCTGCTGCGCCCATCCATCAGCTGAACGTTTCAGCGTCTACCCTCGTGTTTCCTGGTAAACCCACGCTTCACAGAAGCGTTCAGACAGGCCGTTTGTGCAGAGGGAGCTTACTGACAACGCCCTCATCGGCTTCCCTCACCTGCAATCCTCTGCATCTTCATGCGGCGGGCCTGAATGCGGCCTTTGGCCAGCCTCTGCTTGGCGATGATGCAGCGGATGTGGTCGGCGAAGATGAAGTTGGCCTGCAGAATGGGCAAAGGCTTGGCGTGAGGGTTGGAGCTGGGTTTGTGGATAATGATATTCAAAGCTCTGCTGTCGTCCTCCACACCGGACACCTGCATGTCCTTTAGAAAGAGAGAGAGAGAGAGAGAGACACACACAGAGCAGTAGGTGGTGTCAGTAACGCTGACCCAGGGGTAGACTGACTGTTTATAGCACCACTAATGGTGCTAAAGAAAACACCCGAATTTTCTCTCATGGTCGCTTTCAATTAAAACGGAAAAGTTAAAGAATATAAAAGTAAAGACTGAACGATGGAATCAGGAGATGAATGGTAACCAACAGGAATGCGAAATAGCTGTGGGAAACTGGACTGGATCTAAGAAACATCTGAAAGATGATGAGAGGGATTAGTTAAATTAAACACAAAAAAACAACCTATAAAAAAATAAAACGGGACCCAGCTACACTTAAATATTTACATTATTGAAGCTACTAATCAGTCAGATGGAAATCTACTCCTTTATTTATTTAAAACTGCTGTTTCCAACGTTGCTGCTGTGGGTCAAGAAACACAGCGGGGTCACAGGGAATAAAAATCTGTTTTAAAAATGATAAAATGGTAAATGATAAAGTCCCAAGTTTCCTTTTCCCCATTTTTTAAAGTGCAAGTCACCCCCAAGTCAACATTTTTTGGCTGACAAACTATATAAACACGTGTAGACAAGTGTAGACAATAATTTGGCACTTTAGTGCATCTTAGTTAAAAGTAAAATTTGCTGCCTTATGGGCTCGATACACGGGAGGCGACAAACGACCGCGACCAGCAAAATTTGTTGCTGTCACTTTTATTACGCGACACACGGGAGGCGACCCGCGGCAGCGTCCAGAGACAAAGCCATCAACGCGTTCTGTTCCATGGCGAAATCGAACCTTCCTTTGTTTTGATTGGCTGTGTCAGGTTGGAGGGAATTAAGGTTATTTAAGCGGTTTAGAGTTAAAAAAGCGGTAGATATGATGTTTCACAAGGTGCTGTTAGAGTTATGTGAAATCTTGCTTCTGATTTTACTATATATATAAAAAAAATACCTGAGAATACGTTCATCCCATACTACAAACCAGAGAAAGAAACGGCGAATACCATCATTTCATGAGACTTCTAGGATTATCCTGATGTGTTAACTGTGGCACCAACAATTTCCCATGCTGTGGCCTTTTTGTGAATATCTCTATATTCTTTGGTAGAAATATTGTACAGTTCTGGGAAATCCGTCACAGCAAGTATCTTCTCCTCCATGTTTGCTCGGAGTTGTAAGGCGCATCCTGTCCGCTCACTGGTTATGGAATGAAACCTCCAATGATTGATCCTCGCCCAAGCGACAGCGATGAAAAGTTGAAAATATTTCAACTTTCATCTAAAACTTTCTAACTTTCATCTAAAAATGACAGAGTCTTCACTAATACCATGCTGACGCACACCTATCTGGAATAATCCTGATTTTTGCAAAATAACAAAATGATGAAACTTCCGGACTGGAAAAATAAAGGAATCCTATACCTGGAACACATATATGAAGGATTGGACTTCATCCCATTTAACAGAATAGTCTCCCAGTTTGGAGTTGATAATAATAGCTTTTCAGAATATCACCAAATTAAATCTGTAGTCAAACAATAATTTCAGCTCAATAAAGTAGAATTACAAACACCACCAAGGGTATTAGACTTCTATAATCTCAAACCCCCCAAACTACTGTCTAAAGTATATAAGACGATAAAATTGCAATCCCTATTGAAAAATGGGAGGTGGATCCATCAGTCAGCTTTGACCAGAACGTCTGGTCCCAAACTTGTTTAAAATTCTGAACAGAGTACACAATACGGGTCATCGGATGTTCAGGATGGGGTTTGTGTCATCTGACACCTGTACACACTGCACAAACAACATTCCTGACAATTATATCCAGGCACTGTGGTCCTGTCCACATGTCCAGGAATTTTTGGGTAGAGTATGTGAAGACATGTCAAAGTGTCTGAAATGTCATATCCCAACTTCCCCCCCTCTTGGTTTACTGGGAAACCTGGACGATGACCCAATTGAAACATCTTTGGTTCACGTGGTCCATATGCCATATGCATCGCTAAGAAAACTATCCTCTTGAATTGGAAAAATAGAGATACTCTTTGCATTAACCAGTATAGAAATCTTTTGTTAGATCATATTGCACTTGATACAGCCTCTGCCTCCACTTCAAGTGAATCTCTTTGGGCTCCTTTGATCGGTTCCATCACATAGCGATTATAGGAGGGTCACTGATATTTCAGGTCCTGACATGTCTGCTGCCGGGAAGAAGGCGGGAACATGCGGCAGAGCCTGGCCCGGGCTCAGGGACCTCGGGTAGACCTTGGCTCCTCTGCTGTCCATCACGGGGGAGGGGAATGTCCAGGAGGGGGAGGACCCAACTTTACCTGGATGTCCTATGTCATATATTCTGGAAGCTGTGCAAATGCAGGGATGGGAGTAGATATTCTGCTGGGGTGGGGCTGCGTTGGTTCCCTTGGACTCTGTGGAGCTCTGCAATGCTGCTGCTTTGGGTCCTGGCAGGATGGGCTGGGGTCTCCATGCCCTGGGTGGCATTTTGGCAACGGAGGTGCCTATTGGAGCCAGTGGGGGAGCTGGCTCCCTGGAGGGCTTAAGCCAACCAGCCATTCCTCCCCATCCCCACACATTTTTCTCCTCCTGCTCCCTCACATCATCACACAAACATGCACATAGGACTTTGAGGGGTGGACAAGTCAGGGGGTGCGGGTATGGACGCCATTTCTGCATTCCTGTGGCAACCTGCCCCCCCCCCCCCAATTTTATTTGCACATTAAACACTTCCACTAATGACATTCCATGCAAACACACACTTAGGGCCTTGGGAGTAAGCACGTTCAACAACATTTGGCAAGGGGTTCTTTCAGCCTCATCCCAGGTGCCGGTGCCCACTTCCAATTTTAATCTGCACTTAGACACAGAGGGCTGTGGGGGGAAGAGGGGTGGTGTGGTGGCAGCTGGCGTAGGCCAGACGATGCCTGCACTGCCTGCTCACCACAGCCACGAATACACCTCATCAACACGCACCAACACTGTATCGGAGCAGGCGGAGGGTGACTAGGGTTCTTAGCACACCTCTGTTGTTACTTGGCTTCCGGGGCTGGAGGCTAGGAGAGGGATCTGGCCATCTGTCTGAGGTCTGGGTGGTGCGTCGCTTTGCCCAGCGTTGGGCGGGGGAGCCTGCTCATCAGAACCCCACTAGAAAGGGTTGAACGCTGGGAACCGGTGATGGTTGTACCCTTTGTGCAGCAGTACCGGGACCAGAGCGAATAGGATGTGTATGGGGAGCATGAGTGTGTATCCGGCATGCATTTTTGTAAGTCTTAGGTTGTATGTGTATGTGTGAGCATTAGGGATGGGTACCGAATTCGGTACTTTTTAAGGTACTGACCGAATTCCATAGTACCGACCGAGCACCGATTCACGTCGTTTCAAACGGTGCCTTGTTTCGGTACCCGTCCATCATAACGAGAACCTGCCAAGACAGCTGCGCATGCGCAAGAGCGTTTTGTCGTCGCTTGCTGTGAACCAGTTGTAAACAGAGCAGCATGGTAGAGAGAACGCAGGCTAAAGCTTGGGTCCACTTCACTATATGTGATGGGTAACTGGATGATGAAACCATCGACAACTATCTAAGTGAGACATCCTCATCTTAATCTGCTTCGGTAGGTAAATATAATTAGCTTGATATGTTAGCTTCCGTTTCGCTAATGGTGCGTTCGTTTTCTCCTCGGAACTCCGATTTTCCGACTAGAACAACATGAACGCGCTCTAAAGTTTGGCTTCACTTTACTAAATGTGACGGGTGAAGACGAAACCAGTGACGATCTAAGTGTGAGGCATCGTTTTAATCTGCTCCAGCAGCTAAATAAACTGTTTAAGATAATGTTAGCTTGATATGTTAGCTTCCATTGCCACCATTGTTATCAGCTAATGGTGCGTTCGCTTTCTCCTTGGAAATTCTAACTTCCCAGTAGGAAAAATCAAATGAAAAAAGACGGCAGAAGGAATGAAGATACACAGTAAATTTAGTTCACAGTAAAGATGTTTGCTTCAGTTTAATTATCAGCTTATAAAACTACAAGGACGATGTTAAAATACAAACAGTTGTATGTTATTTATCGTGATATTTATCAAATATTGTTATATATTGAGAAAAATATATATTTAATTATAAAAGAGAATTAAAATAATAAACACTCAAAAGTATCGAAAATTGGTACCGTTAAGTACCGTTATCGATTCGTAGGTACCGGTAATTAGTACCGAATCGATTCAAATGTCAAAGGTACCCATCCCTAGTGAGCATGAGGGAGAGAGTGTGTGACTGTGTCTGTGTATGACTGTATATGTCAGGTGGGGCCTTTGACTCCTCCCCTCTCCCGGGACTTCTTTTGCTGCTATACATCTTCGCCTCCCCTCCCCCTGTCACACTTGGTGTGGAGTGTGGTGCCTTGGTCTGCCTGAGTGTTCATGGCTCCTGGGTCAGGGGGTTTAAGATTTTTGGCGTCTGCCTGATTAATCCCGGTGGCTGCCTGGTGGGATATGGGTCCCTGGGCTCTGTTGGGTTCCTGGCAGGGCTGGTCGCCCCTGGGTCCCGGGTCGCTGGGTTCCGGGCTTGGCCGGCTTGGGGGTGGAAGGCTGCGGGCGGGCCTGTGGGCTTGCCGCTGATATTCCCCGGGACTCTGCCGACTGCTGGTTGTGGCCCCCGGGGCAAGCCTCTGCCCCTCTTGAGGGGGGCAGGGGCTTTTCTGGTCGCAGTCTCCCTGGGGTCCCTGTGCTCTGGGGCAGCTCCTGGATCTCTGAGACTTGGAGCCCCTTCCATCTCCTACGCATCTTTGGGGGGCAGAACTGTGGCCCCTCATGGTCTCTATTGGACGCTCTTATAGACAAACCTTACATATACAAGCACGGGTATGCACACAGGTGCTCACACGGTGCTCTCATAAGTATGGACTTGGGCATGTTCAACACATGTCGGCTGTGGTAGGCACTTAATGCACTGTGATTTATTATCGTGATTGTTCAGTAAAACAATGTTTTTATATTTACTCATCAGGTTGACGCAGTGATAGCTTGCTCCTGTTGTATTGCTGTGTGTCCCTTTTCTTTTTCTTCTCTCTCCTGCAGGTCTAGAAGCAGACTCTTGTTCATCATTGATTGTTTTTTTCTGCAATTATCGCTATCTCGCATGTCTCATTGAAAATGAATGGAGAGGCAATGTCATCTCCCGTGTATCGAGCCCATAAAACTGTCAGTGTTGTGCCATCATCAGGTAAGCTCCTTCACATGTCTGTTTTTGTTGTTTCCCGGCTAAATCACCTGTTCGGCAGGTCATCAAGCTCTGAAGAAGCCTTTTAATCACCTATTGATTAAAATCAGGTGCGCTGGAACACAGAAACAACTAAAACATGCTGAATAGGCCCTCCAGGGGTACCTGGAAGGAAATTAAACCTAATTTCCTGTTTGCACCACCTCGATAACACACATAAAAATGCATCAGAAAAAACTTTTCTCTTACTTGCAAAAGTCCAGCAAACTTGACTACCCCCCATCCGAGGCGTTTGGTTTCTGGTTCAACCAGACTCATCTGGTAGACGTCGACGGCGAGGAACCTCTGGGCCTGGCTGCCATCTTTGCTGACCACCATGCAGGCTATAAGGTCACTGTTGTCTGAACAACACGACAAACACAAAGTCTAGTTTAGAACTAGGTTTAGAACTAGGTTTGTGTGCAAGACAAAGATAATTTTAGAAGTTATTGTGGAGTTTAACAATTTTAGCAGGGTTGTGGACTTGAATCACATGACTTGGTTTAGAGACAGACTCGAGTAACTAATTTGACGACTTAAGACTTGACTTGAAAAAAACTTTCAAACACTTGGACTTGTACACCAGTGACTTGTACAACGGTGACTTGACTTGAACCTGTTTACTTCAAAGCCTTGTTTTAACCATTTATTATTTCAAAATTGTCCACTTTTATGTCATTAATGCACCCAGTAAACTGAGATGTCTCTCTGTGGGCTTTTGTGTGTGTGTCTGAGAAATTCAAATGAACAATGTACCGGTAACTTTTAAAATTATTCATTTACCATTCAATCTGCCACACAACAACGTGTTGGAATTTATTAAAAAGCACAATAAATGTGTTTTTAGTTAGGTGAACACTTTCCTCAGTAGAAGTAAATGCACTGGGGGCGAATGGGAACCCATCCAAGATGGCGGCTAACTGCTACGCCAGCTCAAATAGGCAGCTCTGGTGTTTATACTGTATATATATATATATATATATATATATATATATATATATATATATATATATATATATGTTGTCTGTGCCACACTCCATTGGAGCCTCAGAAGGTGTATTCCCAATCACAGCACTCTTTTGATTTAGTGAGCGAAACGCTACTGCGACTGAGCGAAACAACAAAGATGGCAGTGGCTTGATCGAAACCACTTTGGCATCAACTTTGGACTATTTAGACTTTGAGACAAGGGCAGATAGAGGTACTTTACCCTGTATTTAGAAAAAGGATGTATTTGTTTCGCCATACTGCCCTGTTGACTGATATCTGTAGCAGTGAGAACGTCTCATCGTTCTCTCTATGGGACGTTTTCAGACTATATATTCTCATGTATAAGAAGCCTTGCCAGGCTAGAGTATCATCGGATCCAAGCGTCTTATTTCTGGGTTGAACTAGGTCACAAAAATAACACATATCATAAAAGATCACATCTTAATAATGCCAATGATGTTATTTTATCATATAATAGTTGCTCTGGAAGGAGTAATATACAAGTCCTTTAAAGGATGACTATTCTTATTAGCTAAGGTTTATTAAAAATGCTTAATATAGAGGTGTAAGTTCAGAATGCACTTGTTTCATCAAGTGATGAAATAATTACAAAGTTAAAAAAAGAACACATGGTCTATGATTTACATTGAACATACAGTGGTGGGAAAAACTATTTGCCCCCTTCCTGATTTCTTATTCTTTTGCATGTAGCAACGACTCGTAGCAAGTTATCGCAAATGCTTGATAGCAGTTATTGCTGCTAAGGGAGGCCCAACCAGTTATTAGGTTCAAGGGGAAATGACTTTTCACACAAGGCAATGTAGGTCTGGATTTTGTTCTTTCCCTAAATAATAAAAACCATCATTTCAAAACTGCATTTTGTGTTTACTTGTGTTTTATTTGACTAATGGTTAAACGTGTTTGATGATCAGAAACATTTTGTGTGACAAACATGCAAAAGAATAAGAAATCAGGAATGTTGTTTTAAAAAATGATTTGAAATGACTTGAAAGTTGACGTGCAAGACTTGAGACTTGACTCGACTTGAGCATAAACACTTGAGACTTACTTGAGACTTGCAAAACAATTACTCGGTCTGGTTTTTAGCCCCAAACTAAGTTTAACTTCAAAACAATGAAACTAAACAAAGTCTCAAAAATTCTTCTGAAAACTTGCTTAAAAAATTCTGCAGTAAATTTGCTGAAACATCAAGTTCTGGATTAATGCAATAAATAAAAAGCTTATTATGCTGAAAAACAAACCTCACTTCACGGAAGGAACACCACGGCTTTACAACACTACTTCTGTTTTATCTTTCTAATGAAATTCACACCAATGTGTCATCTTCTTCAGAAGAGTTCCGCTAAATCCACAGATGTCTGATTTAGTCTCATGGGGAAAGAAAAGATTTCCTCCTAAGGCACAACCTGCTGGTGTTTATTTATGAGTTGGTGATAAATTCTGTTCACACAGAAGAAGAAAGGCGAGTATTTGCTCCCACATGTCTCGTAGGAGAACGAAGAAGATTCATTATGAGTGTGTTGGGTTCAGTGGAGACGCAAACCCCTGCTGGCGACCTGATCTGACACCACCAGTTTTGGCTGACATATCGCCCACTCTGGCTTGCTCTAAGTGTAAACAGGAATAAACAATAAACAGACCTACAGCCCACGATTAAGACCTCTTCTGTTAAAACTACCTTCTCGTTGTATTCATGGGGTTGGTTCCTTGGAGCCCACACTATGCCTTTTTCATTAAATGTTTTTCAGGATCCTGATTGTGTCACATGTAAAAACAGGGATAAAAAAAGTGTTCTTGTTGTTATGACGGCGACCTTTCACACCTCTAAGCCAGTGAACAGCAGCAGACAAGTGGGATTTATCTATGATTCAACAGTTATTAGATGATGTGGTGAAACGTGGGCGATGGGAGCCTAATGGTCAGAAAGCGACGTGGGTGAGAGGTTGCAGGTTTTAATTCGCCCACACCCGAGGAGCCCCCCCCCCCTTCCCAGCCCAGCAGGCTACTAAGAACGTATTTCTAGTTACCCACCTTGGTCACACCAGAGAAACATCTTTTTTTAACCACACTTCTGTTAAACGGGACAGAAACCCATTGCCAAAGATCAAGGTTACCTTTTAAATGACATGTTACAGGATGTGTGAAATACCTGACACTTCAAATGGCCGTCGATACCAAAATCACCGCCACCTTTTCATCACATGCCCTCTTTATTTGTGAGACACTCGTTCCCCCGTCAGATTGTGCTGTTGTAAACATTTACCTGCAGCGTATTGTAAAGAAGCGAGTTGCCACAACGAGAGCCTGATCTGAAAATCAGATCAGTGACAGCGATCAGTGTAGTGTCACAGGTTTGTTCCGTCTAACAGACCACAGCATTTGCCAGACGGGTTTCCAAGGAGAACAGAAACTGCGGCTGACTCAACACAGATGACGTGATAACGTTTACAGGCCATGACTAGCTACTTTCATGACAGATATCCTGGGTAGAGAATAACACAGTCTACATGAGAAATAATCTAATTTAAAGTAGACACTGCAGCTGACAGATTTAAAGAGCAAGTTGCCCCCAAATCAACCTTTTTTTTCTGATAAACTATATAAATGTGTGTCTAATCATGCTGCAGACACGTGTAGTCAATAGATTCACACTTTAGTGCATTTTAGTTTAAATTTTAATTTTCTGCCTAAAACTGTCAGTGTTCTGCCATCGCTATTGGCTAAGAGGTACCCTAGAACATTAGCTGGTACCATATGATGTCACAATGTCGTTGTGAGCCTGTGTGTGTGTATTTGTTAGCGGCTCTGTCCTCTCGGTCTGCTAGGCAACAGCATTTGTTGCATTTTTCAAACAGAAAGTGGGAGTTGAGTAATACTCTGGTAGGGGGTGACTTGCTCTTTAAAAACCGACCTAAAATCTAACTTTATGCTTAAAGCAGGACATTTTTTTATCTTGTATTATTTTAATTTGCACATTGACTCGTTTTTCATTGACGGGATGATTTTGCTTTGCTCAAAAATGAAGAAAAGAGGCTTTGTTTTCCTTTTTTTTTCACCCAAAGCTTCTTTCTTGGGAGTCTGCTTCGAATCCGTTCAGTGGTTCATGAGAAATGTGGCTTACAGACAACCAAACACAGACATGTACAAAAAAATACCCTACAGCCTGCCGGTCAACTTGGGGAAATTCCCTTCTACTATCCTTGAGAGGATAGATCATGTTGTTTATAAAACCGTCCTGCTTTTCTGCAGCGTTTTTCCAATCATTAGAGCTATTTCAGGACTGGTAAACGGGAACCAGTTCATCTTAAACAGCTTAAAACCAGACTGTTATCACGTCTGTTACTTTTGCTGTGGCTAACCCTAACCCTAGTATTACAGGTGTTTAGACAAGATGTCTGGAATAAGCTGGCACGGTTTAACAGCTCTTTAAGGACAAGATCTGGTAGAATCACTGAGTAGAGAAAGCTCTTGGTGGCCCTGGTGATTAATACATCAAATCTGTTGAAACCTGCTGAGCCTCAACACCTTTTCACATCTGATCCTTTACTTCTGTTCTTTCTTTCTTGAGCTTTGCATCCGTTTTTTTTCTTCCTTATTTTATTCCAAGATAAATAAAATCAAGGGGAACATGAAGACCAGAGGACTGTTCCAAGAAGCAAGCTCAACAAGTCAGGGCTCACTTGAAATATTCTCGCTTGAATTCGCACACCAGTTCACTCCAGGCTTATTCGGTTCCACAAACAAAGCTCAGGTAGACTCGATCATCTCTAAGTCAAGCAAAGAGTGCTGAGCGAGGCTCGCTACATTAAAGGCAGCCCCTATCGATGCTAGATAAGTGAGAATGGAAGGAAAGAGCGGCGTGCTTCTCTCCGGCAGAGCAACAACTATAAATGAATGCCCAGGAGGATTACAAAGAGTGTATAACTAAAGAATAGGCTGCTAGCTGCATGATTAAAGCACTGTAGCTGGTGCTGTTTAGTTAGAATGCTAAGCACCTAGATGTTTCCAAGGCAATGCCACAAGTCTGTATTGGTTTCTCCACATAATTTACTCTGGTTTAGACCTTTAATTTGTTGTTTTTCATGCTCGGTTCCTAGAATCTGTATGTTCTGAGATGCCAGGACTTTGTTTCTTGCTGAGCAGCTGTGAATTTTAAGAAGTTTGTGTCGGGTCATGTGACCCGTAAGTCTTTAATGCACCAAAACCATTTCTAAGTCACAAATACACATTTAGCACTCATATCACACACCACGGAAAGATTGTACGATGACATTTAAAACAAATTTTTACATCTTTTGTTCATTCTTCTGCTGTGGTATGAATTGAAACTTGTTCTGCGGAACGAGGAATTTAAAGAAAACCTAGACATCAGTAAGAAGTGTGGATTCTTTGAGAGCAGAGTACAAAACGTAAAAATCAATACAGTATTTCAGTTGTGAGACACTTTAAATTTCCTTACATTAATGAAAAGGACAGCATGATAATATGGCGTCCATTTAAAAGATTAAGCTGCCACAGCTTTGGGCCAGAGGTGGCGCTAATGCACCACTTTGTTGCCTGCCAACACACATCACAGAAGAAGAAGGGGATGCACTCTGTGAGTTCACAGGCCTTGTCCAATCGTATTCACCAAGCTTAAATAAGCCTTGAAGCTGGCCTGCCACGGAGCAGGCTTGTCCACAAGCATGTGTCACCATTGTGAATGGGCGGGGCTTCAGGTTAGCCTCATTCTCACATACAATTTCTATAACAGAACTAAATTTGTGGGAATTTAGTTTATATTGTCTCTGCAGCCAGGCTTCTGACAGGAACGAGGAAATCAGCACATATTACTCCTGTGCTGGAAACGTTACACTGGCTTCCTGCGGTCTTTCGGGCAAAATTTAGAGTCCTCTGCTTCGTCTACCGGTCTCTATATGGTGGTGTTCCACCATACTTAACAGCACTATTAACACGGCACACCCCATCACGATCTGTAAGCTCGGCTGAGCTGGAGCTACCGACTGTTCCTCACTCTCGGTATAGATCTAGAGGAGATCGGGCTTTCTTGGTCTTGGCTCCATCCCTCTGGAATGAGCTGCCACTCAGCATCAAACAATCACCCTCACTGCATGTCTTCAAAAGTCGCTTGAAGACTCATTTTTACTGTTTGGCTTTATGTGACTTGGTTTTATGTCTCTTGTCCTTCTTTTATATATATAAAATATATATATGTGTGTGTGTGTGTGTGTGTGTGTGTGTGTGTATATATATATATTGCATGGGCTGCGCAGTGGAGCAGTGGTTGGAGCTGTTGTCTTATAGCAAGAAGGTCCTGGGTTTGCTTCCCGGCCTGGGATCTTTCTGCATGGAGTTTGCATGTTCTCCCTGTGCATGCGTGGGTTCTCTCCGGGTACTCCGGCTTCCTCCCACAGTCCAAAGACATGACTGTTAGGTTGATTGGTCTGTCTAGATTGTCCTTAGGTGTGAGTGTGTGTGTGCATGATTGTTTGTCCTGTGTGTTTCTGTGTTGCCCTGCGATGGACTGGCTCTCTGTCCAGGGTGTAACCCGCCTGATTGCCCGTTGACCGCTGGAGATGGGCATATTAATACTGAACTCAAAGATCCAGAAAAATCATCACAGCTATCGCCAAAGTCATAAAAGTAGAACAATTATACTTCTGACATCAAAATATTAGTGCAATTCAGGGGAAACTCAAATGTCTACAAAGCTGAATAAACAGAGGAGCACATGCATGGATTAGTAGAGTCTGTACTGGGTGTTTGAGGCAGTGTCGTCTTTGTTTGACATTATTGTGCAGTTGCACTTGTGACACCCTCCACAGCAGAGCTAACCATGTGTAAGTTTCCAAAGCATCAACACAACTGTGCAGTAGGAGAAAATGGCCCAGGTTATTGACTTGTGTGAAAAGCAGTGATGGTAATAATTGTGTGTGTGTGTGCGCGCGCGCTCAGTTCTGCATTGCTGTGGTTGCTAATGTCTGCATGTATCTGGCTTTGGTAGAGCATGTTTTGTGTTGAGCAGCTGCTTTCTGTTATTGTGAGACTCTATGAGAGACAAGAGTTAGTGAGTGTGTGTGTGTGTGTGTGTGTGTGTGTGTGTGTGTGTGTGTGTGTGTGTGCATGCGCGCGCGCATCTTACTGAGGTCTAAGACATCATCCATCTTGATCAGGTCTTCAGGTCTGGTTAGAGGGAGCTGAGTCTCAGGTTCTCCTTGAAGTTGAAGTGACAAAGCCCTCAGCATGAAGAACACTCGAATTGCCTGAGAGAAGGGAAAGAAGTTCACACACACCGTCAAAAGCAGCAACAGAAGTGCCACTTAAGGATTCAAGGCTAAGATTCCTGTAACAAATGCGTATCACCCGTAGGGCTGCAACAACGAATCGATAAATTCGATGAAAATCGATTACTAAAAGCGTTGGCAACGAATTGCGTCATCGATTCGTTGTGTCGCACAACTCTTCCAAAAGCGCCCCCCCCCCCCACCACCCATTCCCGCCCGCCGTTGCGCGCAGACCAGAGCAAGTCAGATCAGCGCGAGGGAGAGCCGCAGATCAGCGCGAGGGAGAGCCGCAGATCAGCGCGAGGGAGAGCCGCAGATCAGCGCGAGGGAGAGCCGGCAGACTTGCGCTGCTGCGAACCGGTTCCGCATTGTTGCACAGCGATCCAGGCAGCTGCTTCCAGCGCACGGTCCATTCTCAAAGTGGCGCAACCAAAAAACTATAATTAGCACACGATCGTTCATGTCCGCACATGTTCTCTATTTTCTGTCTTATCTGTGCCTGAAGCTCGCTACTGCAGAGCTCATCACCTGTGCTGTGGTGATGTCACCTCACGCAGCATCGAAAATGCGCTCTGCACTTTGCGGTCAGGAGATCCCTTTGATCTGCTCAAAAGTAACTGATGAGGTGAAAAGGTAAGAATCCAGGCAACAGATTTTCTGGAGAATTAAGAGGAGATGCAGGAAGATGAGAGACAGACAGGACAGGAAAATAGTTAAATAAAAACAAGAAAACAAAACAAAGTGTTGAAAAGTAAAATGTAGGTAGATTTATCTCCACGACACGTTTTTACCAGTAAAAAACAATAAGTTCTACACATGTCATATTTATACATCTGATACAATTCAGATCACCTTCAAAACTCAGTCACACACCCAGGGCCGTTTCAAGACATTTTGGGGGCCAAGGCAAAATGCCCCCCCCCCCCCCCCCCCCAATAACTGGGCTCCCCAGAAGCCTCTGTGTAATTCATGCCCTCTCCAGTAGTGTTAGTTATATGGTGTTTATAAAAGCCCCTCAGACATTACTGACATGTTCTAATATTATCAGATGAAAAACTAAATTATCAGACATGCTGTCTCATCTGCTTCTTTTATAAACTTGCAAAAAGTAACAAAACCATTTGAAAGCCACTATTTGTGGATTCTCTGAAAGTTTCCATGGAGTGTGTGACAACTTATTTTTTCATTGATCGTATCGTCTAATCTCACAGCTGAAACAAGCATCCTTAATAATCTGTGCACAGGAAGCTTACCGATGCTGTAGTAAAACAAAAGGTATAATAATTTATTATTAATAAAACCTTGTTGCAGCACTAAAGCAGAAAAATTAGATTTTGCATTAAATATGCAAAATATTTACATATGAATTGTTTTAGAGCCCTTTAATTGGCAGAATCTGATATTAATTTAGTTCTTACAAAAAATGGGTCCCAACATGGTTTGTGTGGCGTTGCCATAGTGTGACGTCATAGGCACAGATCCCCTGTCCTCTTGTTTGGAAATGGAAATATGATCACCCTACATTAAACAAACTGTCCACCCGGGCTTTTGCACTGCACAGAGACGCTTCGCTGCCTACGACTGAATGTCAGTTGAGAGTCAGTCTCATGCAGACTGACCAATGAAGAGAGGGCCTCAAGTTAAGACCCTCTCCTCATTGGTCAGTCCACACGAGGTGAGTCAAAGGTTACTCTGGGCGGGTTACATGTTGTCAGGCATTCAAGTATTGAGTATATTTACTGCATATTACAGTAAAATATTCTGTATGTGACCACATTATGGTGATCCTTGGGTCGTGATGATGGAGCCCTTGAATATTGTTGAACAGGGTACAACAAAGTGTTAATCTGGCCCTGGTTCCGCCTTCACATTCCCGCAGAAACTGGTTGATCACACCGGGGCCAGACTACTAGCATGTGGTTTTACAACCACAATGTCCTCAGAAGCAAAAACGCTTTTAAAAGGGAGGGAGGAGTCCTAACTGTTGCTGCAGGCGTGTTGTGTGAGAGTGCAGTTATATACTGGTTAATATATTTTTGGGTTCAGTTGCTTTCATGTGGCCTAATGTGAGTCTATTTGGGATCATTGGAATGATCAGCAGCATTTCTTGATGTGACTTTATGGCAGTTGCCCAGGGCATCATCGCAAGGAGGATGGCATTCATTTACTTTTGTTTTATTTGGTATTTTTTCAGTCATTTTTGGAAATAGTGATCAATTTTGATTAATTCACAGCCTATGTTTAATTACATTTAAAATAAATGTCAGCAGATGAGATCAAACAAAACAGATGAGAATTGCCCTTAAGCTATTTAACTTGGACCAAGCATTTTAGGTCACAGATAGGTGTAGCTTAGGGTCTCTGTCTATACACCTTATAAGACAATTTAGGTGATGGCATGTTGTTTTTCTGCTATTGAACTGTTTTCTAATAATGTTGTGTTAAATAAAGTGAAGGAAGGAGAGAAATAACGTTTCCCTAGCAGTTTTTAAAAATTTCCCCATGTAATCCGATTAATCGATTAATCGTGTCGAGACCCCATCCGATTAATCGATTATCCAAATAATCGTTTGTTGCAGCCCTAATCACCCGCTGCCTTCAAGTCAAATGATTCTGAATGAATCTAAGCTACTTCCACTTTAAAGTGTATGTAGAAATATGTAAAAACTGACTGAGTTGTAGCTATGTTTGTTCCTGCTAATGTCAGTTAGCTGTGGTGGGCAATTATAAATACCAGTTTGACTCCAAACTTTGTATTGATCTTTTCTGAATTTCTGAAAGTTTCATTTAAATATTTCCAGTGGGACCCGCTGACCTCACCTAACTAGAATCTGAATCTCTCCAACCATCCAGTTATTTTGTTTATAACAACTTTATTGACTCATCATAAGTTTAACCTACTTCAGTCATGTGTTGTAGTCATTACAACAACCTAGCGTCCATGCAAAAAGGTTCTCTTGGTCAAAATTTTAAAGGGACTTTACGGAGTTTTGAATTTTTATGCTCGCGATTGCCCTCTCAGGCCAAAAGCGTAACGGCAGCTTCAATAGTAGGCTCGTGCACGAGGCGCGCATGCTGTACGTGCACACTCCTTAACGAAAATAACAGCTGAGACAGTCCCTTGTTTGTGTGTGTGTGTGTGTGTGGCCCGGAGGACAGAGGACAGGAGAACGTGCAGCTAATTAATTAAATAATTTGGTTCTGTACCTTTCTCTTCAGCACAGCCGACAAAGGTTTATGATGGGTCAGTCCTCCTGCATGCTCAGATCATTCCCTTCCCTTGCTTGAAAAATTGTTCCAAAATGAAAATTGAACCCACATCTTTTTTATCTGTGAATTCAATGCCGTTCGGCGAGTCTCAAATAAAAATTTGTGCATCTTACTGTAAAAAAATGTACCGTTAATGTAAAAAATAAACTACCTAAACTATGTTCACATCCAGAATCGAACCCAGGTCTTCTGCATGGGAGTCAGACGTCTTACTAGGTGAGCTACACTCTAGTAACATACAAAGTATCTGTAACTTTTATGTCCTTGATGACAGCTGAAACAACATCAAACCAAAGAATGGTTCGGAGCGAAAATGGCTATTTTGTTGCTAATTTGCAGGAAATATCTAGAAGAAAGTTCTACAGAAAGTAGCTAAGGGTCCTCAGAAATGTAGCTAGCTTTGTCACTAGGCGTTAGGAACAGCGACAAAGTCGCTGAGTTGGCACTGCCTCTCTCTCTGCTGCTAAAGCTACTGATAGCAAATGCTACGGGCGATGCCTGAGCGTGAACGCGCATGAAGCAGCCTGCTCGACCCGAGCAGCTCTCTTTTTCTGTGATTTTACAGAAAAACAGGCAATCACAGTAAAAATGCCAGGGCTCATTCTACAGGACCAGGGCATTGCAGGAGAATGTATGAAGAAGACATTTATTATTTCTATACATGTTTTGGCTGTCAAACTTCCCTAATGTCCCTTTAAAGATATGAAGAAATAGCTTATTTTTCCTTGCATGTGTGTGTGTGTGTGTGTGTGTATACACACCCGTCGAGTCTTCTCCACATCTCCACAAGGTAATCTTTTAACAAAGTCAATGCCAGTCAGGGGGGTACCGGTGGGCGGCAGTAGGATTGATGCATCCATCATTAGATATTCAACATTCAGGGGTTTACTCTGTCACACACAAACACACACACACACACACACACACACACACGCACGCACGCACGCACACATGTTTAGGGAAACTAGTACATCCCCCTGAGAAAACTGGTACAGTGTATAATGTGACCAACCGTCATGCTTCTGTATTCGTCTTCAAACATGTCCAGGAAGATTTCTTCCCCCTGGAACGACAGCAAGAATAGAAGTTTAAATGTCAACATGTTTGTATCTGGGGCACCTCTCAGCGCTCTACTGGATGTCTTTATGTTTTTGTGATTTTAAACAATGTTTTTATTTGATACTGGCAGCAGGGATGAAACATACGGCAAAACTGTACAATAAGGGGCCCTTTATTAATGTTAATTGGTGCATAATTAAGCATTAATAAATTACTAAATAAATAAAGTATTAACCACAGCATAACCATATTATGTAATGTATTACTAAGCGGACACCCCCCTCCTGGCTCTTTGTTCCAAGGACACTTACTAGTTAACAATAACAGTAACATTAATCAAAGGATCTTTTGTTTACTAATGCTTAATAATGCACTATGTAACGCCAATAATCGGACCCTTATTGTATAGTGTTACTGAAACATACAAAGCGAAACATATTTGGAACCAGAAGCTCCAAACTGAGCTGAAGCTGATACTTTGTGTCCTCAGATTCCCTCTCTGATGTTTACTTCTCACTGGTGAGGCATTCATATCAACTGCATCAACAACTAATAAAAATATGAACTTCTAATGGCTTCAGAAAACCTTTGTACGAACAAACTAATGGGAATACCGAGTTGTGTTCACAATCCCATTCAGTTAACGTCACACCTATGTGTGCCCATAAACACCAAACCAGAGCACTAGAGCACAAGTTGTCCTTAAGCGGCCTCTGATCACGTTCTGTTGGGTTACAGCTTGTACTCATGCCTTTAAATACTTCCTGGAATAATGAAAATATGGGTGGCTCTTTCTGCTGATCTAGGTGTAAGTGAAACACTATCCCGATCCTCTGTCTGAACCATAGTCTGACAAACAGATAGGATGTTATGTCCCGAAACAGAGGGTGGTGTTTGGACATGCACCACTGAGCGAGGCCGATCCAGCACAATTGTTGCTTTGATACAAACTCATCATGAGATCATCATGTTCATCAGAGACGCCTGTTGCGCAAAGGTTTGTGTGTTCTGCTGTTAGAAAGTAAGCTTTGTTGTCATTTTTTACAGTTTCACACCATTTTATTCCAAAATGCACATTTAAAACCAACTGACATCAGGTGTTGATGCTGCTTCTTACATCACAGCACAGAACTGTGATGAAGTATGGGAGGAAATTCTAAAGCATCTGCAGATCTAAAAGTAAACGTGAGCGTACTCGGTGCAAAGTTATAAATTGCACAACTCTGAGTTGCTTCAAAACAAAAGAAACTAACTATCATGTTGATATTAAAAACAACCTTTGGAATCATGCTCCATAAAACCTTCTAAGGTTATTGTTTTCCAGGTGATATTTGATCTGTTTGGTCGTTTCATTTTTCAAATGTTGTGATAGTATAGAATCAACTTTGAATCTTAATCCATAAAGAAAGAAGACAAGATTATTTTCTGAGAATGTACACAGAGAGCCAAAGTAAAAGAGAAAGCATTGACTGTAATGAAAACATTTCATGTGAAATAATAAACACCTTGGTTTCTATCTACCAAAGGTTTAACAGAAGGGTACCGCCTCTCGTTCTCACACACAACATTTCCCAGAGGCAAGATTACGATCTCTTACCAGGGGAAAAACAATGTAAAGCATTTTACAGTAAGGCGCAGCGCTATAAATAAACCGTTTTGCTATGAATATATTTATATTTTTATTCGTCAAACTTAAATGTTTCACATCAGCAGAAAAACAAGTGTTTGACAAAAACAACCTGAGTAAACACAAAATGTAGTTTTCAAATGATGACAATAAATACATCAATATAAAAAATAAACATAAAAAATAACTCATTCACTTACTTGCATGACTATAATATTGGGGAGGCAAAAACTGCTTCCATAAGAAAATCTCTGCTGACCAGCATGAAAACGGTAATGTTGTCACATATGCTAAAGAATCTCGTTCCTAAAGACTTTTGGGACAAGACTCTGTGGACGATGAGACAATATAGACCTTTCTGGAAGACGCGTGTCTTGTTACATCTGTAAAACTAACTAATTCTGGAACAGACATTAGAGCAACAGTCATACATGGTAGTGGTAGTGTGATGGTCTGCGGCTGCTTTGCAGCTTCAGGACCACTTGATCCGATGAGGCCTTTAATGGGTGAGCTACTAAAGGCATACATTGTCTCTATGACTTATAGGTCGACAGTACATTTGCCTCCTTTGAGCAACTGGTGGTCATGCTTCACATCCATAACTCACATTTCTTTACAACTGGGACACAGTCTTCCCCTGTGCCCATCTTGGACTCTCAATGAGATTTTGGACTGTCTCGAACTACTTCTAAGAAAGTTCTGAGCAGACTTTATAATCTGCTTCACTATCAGACCGGTCTAGATGTTTTAAAGCAGAAATGGGAACTGAACCTGGGTGTTGGATTGTCAGATTTGGTCTGGAACAAGATTCCAAGGAACATTCAAAAATCCTCGAAAGTGCAAAGGGCCCTTGCTGTCCCTCCCCCTTGAACCCCCCAAGGGAGATAACAAAAGAGGGGCTTACAGTGCTATCTAGCTAACCTAGTGAACTAGACAAAATTCTTGTTTGGTCTAGGAACGCTCCAATGGAACCTCTGCAGCCCCTAGCAGCATTTTGGCTGGCCAATCACAGCTCTCTAGGAGTTTCAAACACACAGAGAGCTGTGACTGGTTCATAATGGTGGCCCAATCATAGCACTCTATCTGCTTTGTGAACCAATCACAGCACTTTATCTGCTTTGTGGGCCAATTAGGGCCCTCTTTTCATCTGGTGGGAGGGACGAAGCAACAGAATAGAATGTCACGAACTCCTCCTCTTAACCTCCTCCGCGGGCCTGGTTGGCACTGCACTCCATTTTCCAGCATCCCTGTCACCGACGCTACCCGGTGACGTCATCCCGCTGAGCCTATTTAAGGACCTGTCACAGCTGAGCCGGCACTCAGTCATCATCTCATGATAGACGCCAACCCATTCTAAAACGACAAGCCAAATATACCAACTCTAAAGACCATCCGGGAAGAGAACTTCCCACGCTGTAAAGATCAGTCACGACCAAACACCAGTCTCTCCGCGCCTGGGTCTCACAGCCACGCTACACCTACTTTAGCCACACTCCAGCTCAGCCCATCGAACCTGACAGGATGACTGAGTCCTGAGTAGACCCAGCGGAGACCGCACAGCTGCGAGCAGACGTTGCACAGCTGCTCAGCCGTGTAGAACGCCAGGAGGCGGAAAACGCCCAACTTCGAATAGAGAACAACCAGCTTCGTGCTGTTACGGATCGCCAAGCATCCAAACTCGATTCTGTCACCGAACTGGTCGTCCAACTCTCCTCGGCACTCCAACGTCAGTCATCTGCCACCCCTAACATTGTGGAGCTGTGTCTAAGTCTCCCGACAAACGGGATGGGACTAAAGGATGCCCGGAGGGCATGTTGGCCGTCCTGTCAATGACTTTTGAGTGTCAGCCGGCACGTTACCCGACTTCCTGCTCTCGCGTTGCCCTGTTAACCTCCCTGCTGACGGGGCGAGCCGGTGAATGGGCGGCTGCTCTGTACAACCAGAAGTCTCCCGTGTGCAACGATTATGAAACCTTCGTGAAGGAACTGAAGAAGGCACTTATGCATCCCAGCAGCGAGGTTGCAGACGAGACACGCCTGCTCCAGCTTCGGCAGGGCTCTCAGACCGTGGCCGAGTACACTTCACGCTTCCAGACCACCGCTGCCCGT